CTCGCCACCTCCCCCCTCAATCGTACTACTCCCGCGCACCCGGCCAGGGGTATCATACATAGCCTGCACGCTCGGTCCGAAGAAGGGAAAGACGAGGAAGGGGTGCAGGCCGTTGGGGGTGAGGTGGGTGAAGGCGGAGAGGGGGGTGAGGAGGTGTTTCGAGACAGAAGTGGCGTGGAGGAGGTTAGGGATGCGGACGTCGGGGAGGTCGTCGATCGTCTTCCCAGCGAGCACATCCGCCCGCATAGCTTTGATTGTAACCAACCCCCCTCCTTCCGAATCCCTAGCCAGCCAAACAGTCGACGAACCCCCAAACCCAACCTTATGCAACAATTTGTAGCATCCATTGTGTAATTTGTCGTGGATGGAGAGGGGAGGTAGGCCGCCGGGGTGATAGCATTGTACGTCCTCGACGGAGTCGAGTTGGGAGGGGATGTAGCGGGGGAAACGCGGAGGAGTGGTGGCGGTGGTTGTGGAAATGAGCCGCGGGAGGGTAGAGGATAGGGTCTTGGGACGACAAAGTTTTCGCGCAGAGAGGAAAGTCCGAATAGACATGGGGAAGTCCTACTAGGTCGCAGAGGACAGAAGCTGCCACGTTTTTGCAAGCCACGCGAGCTCGATCCCAACTCTCGCAACGAAAGAGACCTGAGACACCACCAGCCAGATCCTAAGACAAGCAACCAAGCAGGCGAAATAAAGATAGTCAGTCGATCATTGGAATACCAGAAGCTCGAACTTGGCTTTGGCTCGAATTCAGGACGAACATGGACGGTTGATGCAGGGGCCACGAATCACGAGGCGGGTCTGGTGTTTGTTTGTGCTTGTTAGGATCAGAAGGTGTTGCGTCATCGTCGTGGCGAACAAAGGGTGGCGCGGTTTTCTTTCCGTTGTCTTTCCACAGCACTGGCTTGAAGCTTCGACTTTGAAGGTCTATCGTCGACTCTCTTTGTTTCCCCTTTCTCTGCTTGTTTTTCACTCTCTTTTGGTACCGTAAATTGTCTCACCTGTCGTGGTAGGCCGCAGTGGAAAAGCTGGTGCGTTTTCTAGTCCGCGTTCTGTCGATTTTCTTTCGGCATCGTCTGCAGCTGCTTCAACTTCGACGGCTGACCGTCGATAGTCCTTTTCTTTTCTGCTTGTGATTATTACAGGTGCTTCACAGCCCTCCCAATTGGCCGGCTTGTCGTAGCAGGCCGTTGCGGAGAGCTTGACTCCGCTTTGCTTGGCTGGAACCATCTTCGTCTCGACTGATCTCAGGCTGGATAGTCATTTTGCTCAGTGATCCATTCCTCGGAGGCGGACAGATTATTGACGGGAGATAACCATTTTTCTAGCGTATACTTGCACTGAAACTCAAGTACTAGTGAATGCGTACTTCCACCATCCTCGCCAGGCTCGTCCTCAGACTCTGCCTCACCTTGCCACCCACATCGCAATCGCGCTCATATTGCCACGACGTTCACTCGCTTACACTCGTACTCCTCTACTCTCAACCATCATCACATTGCACCGGGGCGCTGCTTATGCCTTTCTTGTTACATCTCTGCACTGTGCATGAACCTCGGAAACTAGCCACAATTGCGAAAGCAGTCCTGTGCAAGTTCGCAATGGCGTTTCAGCTGAATATTCTTCCATCCTTGGGGCTGGTAAAACTACTATGTACTAGGTCCTCTTAGAATCTGTCGTCCCTCCCGTCTTCTCTGCGGCCCTCGCACACACTGTGGATCGACCATATCGTACATCTAGCGCTACGCGATCGCTTGGAACCTCTGTGAACATATTTTTTGGTCTATTGAAACAGGGATCAAATATCGTGTGATTTATGAAGCCGGCCGTCAACGATCTGAGAGCTTCGAACGGTATTGTTAATCATCTATGCTATCTCGCTACTGATCATTGATCCCCACCACGTTTCCTCGATTGCTACCTTTCGCGCGCACTCCAGTGCGTCTTCCAATCATGTTTCAGTTCTCTTCCTACCTCCCAGTGGAGCGCAGACTAATCTGCCTCACTGGACATCACTATTCTGCCTTCATCCTCTCCCACCCTCTAATGCATCGTCCGAATGCTCTCCATGCTTAAGGTTGCCTCCGTTTGCATCGTATCGTAGGAGTTAGAACATCGGTACGCGAAGAAAGGATATCAAAGGAGGGACAATAGTCGAAGAGACGAAGATAAATTAGGGAAGGAATGAGAAGTTGAGGGTCCCGCAGTTCTTGCCTCGTAAGTCTTTCTGTCCTGATTTGCATTCAACACCTTCATTCCGCCCCATAATATTTTCTCCACCCGTTACGTCTTTTTCCTCTCCTCCGTATACTCCGGTGAGCCATCGTACTCCATCTCGGTTTATTATACTTTTGAGCCGTCGATACAGATGGCAGCGGTAGCAACGACGGGGATAGAGAAGAGTTATGGTACCAGAAAGGTACGTCTCTGACTTTCTTCGCACTTGTCACTCAACCGCGATTTCAGACTGGTCGCTTTCTTTTACTTCATTCGTCCTCTTTTTCGTCTTTGCGTCGCACATCTTCGGCGTTCGCTCTGTTATGGGCCGACAAGACCCGCGCACGATCGTCACTGCTACTTATGTATCCTCTACTGATACTGCAGAACGCGTCGATGTGTCATCATCAAGGTCGCTGGACAGATGCCAAGGAGCTGGAGGCGATCACCAGAATAAACCGTATGGTTCACTTTTGTGCTCTTGTAACTTACTTCCACTGCTCACATTTACCCCTCTGAAAGAAGGTTTTCGTCGGTTTGCCTTTGTTACAATCTGCGCCTTCGCATACTCAATTCACTCCGCCCAAATGTTACCTTGTCATCCAAACGCAGCTACTTTATGGTCGAACAATGTGCGGTTGAGGTCACAGGTTGTGTCGGTGATTTGAATGTAGGTGTTTCTCTGTTTCGGCCAGACCTGAATCAACGACCCCCCTTCGACCACTTCCCTTCCAAATCTGCCGTCTAATTAGATTCAATGTGCAGATACCGAACGCCATATGCTGCGGGTATGCCCTGTAGGGACGAGAGATAATTCCACAAGGCTGGCTCGTTTCTGATTTGCTTTGCTCCAGTCATATATTGAATGTACAGGTCTCGTTATAAAACAAACTTATGACGAGCTGCAAGGACAAATATTGTACATATGAAATCAGCTAGCTCGTACACAGCTCTTCGGAATCAATGATAGACGCACAACTACAAATTTATACATCACGGTCATTCGGAACAAGGAGTCTCTTCCTGATGTCTCTTACCTCCGCCTCAAGCTTTCCTGCCTCAGACAACCGGCCCAGCTTGTGATATGTTGACGCGAGGTGTTCCATACTCCGTAGTGTGTTGGGATGCTCATCTCCAATAACACGCTTCCTCGTCTCCAGCGCCAGCACCTGCAGCTTCTCCGCATCCGCCAACCGACCTTGATCTGAGTATGTCAATGCAAGATTTCCCATGCTGACCAGTGTGTGAGGATGCTCCTCGCCGAGCACACGCTTGTGTGCCTCCAGCACCGTCACCTGCAGCTTCTCCGCATCCGTCCACCGACCTCGATGCCGGTATGTTGATGCAAGATTGCCCATGCTGATCAGTGTTTCAGGATGCTCCTCCCCGAACACACGCTTTTTCGCCTCCAGCACCGTCACCTGCAGCTTCTCTGCATCTGTCAACCGACCTTGATTCCAGTATGCAGATGCAAGGTTGCTCATACTGACCAGTGTTGAAGGATGCTCCTCGCCGAGCACACGCTTCATCACCTCCAGCACTGTCACCTGCAGCTTCTCTGCATCCGCCCATCGTCCTTGATTCTGGTATGTAGATGCAAGATTGCCCATGCTGGTCAGTGTGCCAGGATGCTCCTCGCCGAGCACGCGCTTCTCCACCTCCAGCACCGTCACCTCCAGCTTCTCTGCATCCGCCCACCGACCTTGATACGAGTATGTAGATGCAAGGTTGCCCATGCTCTTCAGTGTTTCAGGATGCTCCTCGCCGAGCACGCGCTTCCTCGCCTCCAGCACCGTCACCTCCAGCTTCTCTGCATCTGCCCATCGTCCTTGATCCCGGTATGTCGATGCAAGGTTGCCCATGCTGATCAGTGTTGATGGATGCTCCTCGCCGAGCACGCGCTTCCTCGCCTCCAGCACCGTCACCTCCAGCTTCTCTGCATCCGCCCATCGTCCTTGATTACGGTATGTATTTGCAAGGTTTCCCATGCTGGTCAGTGTGTCAGGATGCTCCTCACCGAGCACACACTTCATAGCCTCCAGCACCGTCACCTGCAGCTTCTCTGCATCCGCCCACCGACCTTGATGTTGATATATCTGTGCAAGATTTCCCATTTTGCTCAGTGTCTCAGGATGCTCCTCGCCAAGGACGCGCTTCCTCGCGTCCAGCACCGTCACCTGCAGCTTCTCCGCATCTGTCCACCGACCTTGCTTCATGTATATCGATGCGAGATTGCCCATGTTGATCAGTGTTTCCGGATGCTCCTCACCGAACACACGCTCATTCGCCTCCAGTACCATCAGCTGCAGCTTCTCCGCGTCCATCCACCGACCTTGATCCCGGTATGTATATGCAAGATTACCCAGGCTCATCAGTGTTTTAGGATGCTCCTTGCCGAGGACGGATGTCCTCGTATCCAACACCATTTTTCTCATAATTTCCGCATTCTTGTACTTTCCATTATCATGATACAATCTCCCGAACCAGTCTGCTGTATATATGTCCAGCTGACCATCGTGATACTGAACCTCTTGGGTATGTAGGAGCAATCTGCGGAGATCATTGTAGCTTGGTATGTCACCATGGCCATAAGTGTATGATACTGTACTTTTTCGACCTGATGTTCGATTTCAAATTCATGGGATTTGCCGGTTCAGCGCCACACGTCTGTCCCCCTGTTCGTTGTGCATGGGGGACAGGGGACACTGTTCGGCACTATGATACTAAAATATCATTTACATGGCATGAGGTGGAGCACTGGCACTTGGTCATAATTTTCTGATATCTTGGTGAGCCAGAAAAGAGTATTATTGTCTATATTTTGACTCAGAGTGGTGTTGGAGTGGCGAGAACAATATTTTTGGTCTGTTTTATTATTAATTCAGGTTTTTGTCGATTTAGAAATGTGTCCCCCTACCGGTTCGCTGGAGGACCGAGATGGGGGACAGTCCCCCCCCAAATTGTTCGGTTCGGTGAGGTGGGGGGACAGGGGACGAACATCGGTTCGAAAAAGTACAGTACCGATAGGCCCAAAAGAAATGATGCGTAGCTTGGAGTGACTGTGTTACTGTCATGATCTCGAGTCCAATCTTGCACTAGGAGATGCATAGATAGACTGTGTTGTGCTGATGCACTCATCAGAGAATATGAACAAAGGTCTTGCACTACCCTCAGGAAAATGCTACTATCCCATGTATTTTCATGACTAGTCATGAATTTGTGGAGGAATTCTGTGACCCAAGACACCACGACCTCCGAAGGCGGAATGCTGTCCTCAAAAATCAACAGCTCGGCGGCCGCATTTCTGAAAATGGATTCGGAGATGGACTCGTGATGCAGGAAGGCACAGACACGCAGGAATGTCGCGGCCAGCGGGTTTTGAAGCAGAAGGCGCTCGAAGCTGATGTTCCACGTCGTATAGACTGTGCCATCATAGGAGTCGGGCCGCTGTACTCTCTCCTTGTATTCTTCAAGCAACTTTCGATGCTGTTTACGGAACAGCTCAAGGTACTGGTCAAGGCCGTTGGAATTTTGGGGGATGAAGTTGCTGAGATTGAGACTAGGGTCATCAGCATTGTCGAGGACAAGGAGCCAATCGTCATGACCCTCCATCCACCGCAGCGCATCCGCGGCGGAATCTCCGGTTCCTTTGTCCACGGCGATGCTTGCCATGTCGGTTTTGATGGTCTCTTCACTGTTCTCATCAACATAAAACACATCTACGAATCTAAAGTGACTAACATGATCAGCATTTGAAGGTCAGTGACCAATCTGTGTGCGTGATCGAATGCATACCTTGGCTCTGGCTCACTGCTCTGTGCGATCTCCACAAATCTGCGTGATATCTCACTCTTACCACTGCCGCCCAGGCCGTGAACCACAAATATACGACGCCGTGTGGACTTTCCAGAGAAATACAGAGTAATTCTCTCAAGAATGGAGTCTCTCCCTGTGAAATATGGTGTTGAAGGAGGGCAAAGTTTGCGTTTCGGGGTGGGCTTCGAATGAGCGACAGCCCTCGCAAGCGCACCACCTATTGTCGCTATGAGTTAGATAAAATTTAATAAAATATAATGAATAGAACATACTAGCTTGAGCAGTCGGAGCGACTCCGCGTCGAGCGCGTACAGCTACCACCGCATCTATGATTGTCTTCGAGACCGTTGTAGACCTCAGATACATTTCGGTGACATCATGCACCACGTCCAGCTTATCCCAATCTGAAAGCTTAACACCATCCATGCCCTGGTCGACATTAAAACGAAAATAAACACCAGGTGAATTATGAAAGCGGTGCTCCATATCCTCTGCGACCTTTTCGCAGTCTGTGACGATGTTTGCGATAGCGACAGCAATATTAATGCGTGGCATGATACGCTGAATGAAACTAGGTTTATCTAGGCTAGAAACTTTCAGCTTTCCGGCCCCAATGCTGATCATACAGGCAATATTTCGCTCTGGGAATATCGAAGATGCCTCATGAAGCACAACACCGGCAGGGTTGTTATAACCAATGCCGCCATCAGTATAGCGACTGCGAACGCCAAACCCATTGTCAATCTCGACCGCCTTGAAGAATGTAGGCGCAGCGGATGTAGCGCGAGCGGCTTCCCAGATCTTACAGTTGACGAAGCGTTCGTGGCGTGGTTCGTAGGTGCGGAAGAGCGTGGGAGTGGGTGCACCTAGAGCGTTTGGAACCGTAACGCAGACGAACCTAAAATGAGAACAAATTGCCAAGGCTGCTCAGACTCAAAGATAAAAATATTATGTGGTACGTACGTCCTGCACGATACACTAGAGGACGCATCATCCCTCATCCTCGCCTCCGAATCATTCATAGCCGCGGGTTGTGCTGAGATCACTTTCTTTATCGCAGACTCTAGCTTACTCGCTTTGAAGACTCCATCCCCACGAAGTTTTTTGTCTGAGAATACCTCCCTTGAAAGCTTGGCGTACGTGTGGAGGGCATCGTCGACGGACATGCGAAGGCGGCCCAGCATGAGCGCAATGATCCTAAACGATAGCAGATGAGTGCTCCGGTAAGTCACTCTGAAGTAAGTATTGCGCGTCAGCGTACCCTCCCGTGCTCGTACCACCAATCAGATCGAAACAATCGCAAGGTAGCGGCATTTTCTCTAGCTTCTCTGAGAGTTGGATTTCGCGCATAAGGTTCCATAGGACCTGGAGGGACGACAGGCCACGGATGCCGCCGCCATCTATCAACAAATATCAGAGATAGCCTGGGTACAAAGAAACTGAGCAGAACATACCCAAAGCAAGTAAACGCAGACCTTCAGTTGAAGCTGGTTCCGACATATTGTCCTGTTAGCACGCAGAGTGAGATGCGAGCGAGAGGGAGGGAGAGTAAGGGAGGGAAAGAGAGTAGTAGCGCCGTGAACCCTCTGCCCGTACTCGCAATTGCTGAGTGCGGTACAAGGCGGTTCCAGCGTGGAGTGAGTTATAAGTTCAAGAGCACTGACGCTGAGAATAACCAAGTTGCACGCTATAAATGGACAATATATCGGATTCATGCACTGCTTTCATGGGCTATTTTTGCTAGTTCGTTCCAATTTGACAGACCGCCACAGCCC